GCCCCCGGCTCCGCTGGAACCACTCGGGGCTCCGGGCGCCTCTTGGCAGGCGGCCGCCGATCTGTGCCGCGGGCTGGGTGTGCCTCGGGTGTATTCTCGGGTAGTGCTGTACGGGCAGGGTGGGAAGAATACAGCAGTGAGTATTTCCTGCCATCTTCACAGGTCAGTTTACTTTTGGTTGTTGCTGGCAGATTTCCATCAGCTTGTTAGTGTCAGGTCTGGAAAAATACCTGGAAACCCAGTTCCAGGGGTGTATGTATGCGTGAAAAGCATTAGGACAGTGGACATGGGAAAGTAAATATCTGAGGAACTCATTTAACATGTGTATGTTTGTGTATGTTAGTGCCTCCATATGTGTGGCGGATAAATTTGGATACTCCAGAGGAAGCTCGTCACAATCTCTCTTTTGGTGCTGCGGATCGCTGGTGGGAGCAAACAGACCTGACCAAGCTGATACTCGCCTCAAACAAACTGCAGAGTCTGTCAGAGGATGTCCAGCTTCTGCCTGCCCTCACTGTTCTGGATGTAAGTACAACAATCCTGGCACGGTAGGACTGTACTCTCCCTGTGGGAGGTGGGAAAACACTCTCAGATCACAGGCTGGTTTGAGGTGGAAGGGACCTCAAAGCCCACCCAGTGCCACCCCCTGCCCCGGGCAGGGACACCTTCCCCCAGCCCAGGGTGCCCAAAGCCCCGTCCAACCTGGCCTTGAGCCCTGCCAGGGAGGGGGCAGCCACAGCTTCTCCGGGCAGCCTGGGCCAGGGCCTCACCCCCCTCACAGGGGAGAATTTCTGCCTCAGATCTCATCTAAATCTCCCCTCTGTCAGTCATCCTGTCCCTCTGCCCCTGATCCAGAGTCCCTCCCCCCTTTCCTGCAGCCCCTTTCAGCCCTGGGGGGCCGCTCTAAGCTCTTCCCGGAGCCTTCTCTCCTCCAGCTGAACCCCCCAACTCTCAGCCTGTACTCGCAGGGGGGGCTCCAGCCCCCCCAGCATCTCTGTGGCTCCTCTGGCCCCGCTGGAGCAGGTCCGTGTCCTTCTGCTGTTGGTGCCCCAGAGCTGGACCCAGCCCTGCAGGGGGGTCTCCCAGAGCGGAGCAGAGGGGGAGAATCCCCCCCCGGCCCTGTGCCCACCCTGCTCTGGGTGCAGCCCAGCACACCGTTGCCTTTCTGGGCTGCCAGCGCACATTGGTGGCTCACGGTCAGTTTTCCACCCCGCAGCCACCCCAAGTCCTTCTCCCCGGGGCTGCTCTCAGTATCTTTGTTCTCCATTTCCCTGCAGTGGTGGCTGTGTCGAAGTGGCACTGCTGTGTTCTCGGGATGAAGAAAAGACTTACAGATCACTCTGATAATATATCAGTCTGGTGGTGGGTACTGTTCTGCAGAAAGGTCTAGGAAGTTTTATTATGGACACTGAAGGAAGAGCTGTCACTGGATGCAACCACCTTTCCTGCTCTCCCCTCCTCTCCCTCCCTTCATATCTAGTCTTAGCATTTGTATCAGTTAAGTAGAATTTTGCAGTGCTGCTATTGGTAATGGCTTTGAGGTGTGTGTGTAGCTGCTACTTGTGTACAAAGTTATTCTGTGTGTTCGGTTAGCTTGGTTTGTTTCTGGGGTAGACAAAGAAAACCTGCAAAGTACAAATTATTAACTGTATTCTAAACACTTTATTTTCCAGGTGCATGATAATCAACTGACATCGCTTCCTTCTGCTTTAGGACAATTGGAAAATCTTCAGAAACTTGATGTCAGGTAAGTATGTGTTACAGAACTGGAACATGGGAAATATTGCAGTGGCTTTTACAGGGTGAATAAGAGATTGCAGTATATAAAACTTTCAGAAAATTAATTTCATATTTTTAACTAGAGAATATTACTATATTGAGAATTTTAAGTTTTGGATCAAAATTGACAGTCAGGTTTGTTAAAATTGTTTTCACTGATAGTCACAGTTGCTTGGAAGATGAAAACAGTGATATTTGGAATATTCACACAAAAGTTTTTTTTTATTCACACATTTGCTTCAGCCTGGCAGTTTCGAGTATAGGAGTACTTTTTGTCATAAATATACATTGGAAATAACTGTAGCTCTTGTTCATGCTGGAGAGTTCATAATCTTCTCTTTACTGGAGTAATTTTGTCAATTTGTGTGTGAGGAGAAAGAGGTATGCTGCCACTGTGTGTGTGAACTCCATAAAACAAACACAAAAATTGAGATCCAGCTGGAATATTGTAAATTCAGATGAGGATTAAAAGTGTTCTTGAGTGAATAAACAAACATAAGGAATTTCTCCCAGGAAACTAATCCAACGTAGAGGCTGTAACAGTTGTAGGGGACGAGATTTTTCCTCGAGCCGAGGATATCCCGACAGGCAGGCCCATGTATCTGCGCAGCGTGGGGACGTTTTGCAGAAGCCTGTCTCGCGGGAGGTGTAATTAATAGTTAGTCTGTGCCAGCACGGAGTATCCCGCGCGCCTGTTCTGGGCCTGCTCCCCGCGTGCTCCAGGGCCCGAGGAGTGTGTGAGGGAGATACCGCGGGCGGTGGCCGTGGGGCAGCTCGGGTGTGGGGAGCGCCGCGTGTGACAGAGCGTGCTGCGCGCGGCCGCCTCCGAGCAGCCGCCCAGTGACCGGTTCTACCCGTTGTGTTCCCTGTGTGCCCGCCAGCCACAACAAGCTGAGGAGTGTCCCAGGAGAGGTGATGCAGTTGTCGCGTTTGAAGAGCCTCCTTCTTCACCACAATGAGCTGAGTCACCTGCCGGATGGATTTGGACAGCTTGTCAATTTAGAAGAATTAGTAAATTACAACTTTCTGAAAAATATTTCTTTGTGCGGAAAGGCTGATTTATCCATGTTTTGCTACTGCTAATTAAAAAACCCCGTAGCCTAGATGGCAGAACTTTGTGAATATTCTGACGACTTATGTGGGTTGTCAGTTATTATGTGGTGGTTTGTTTTGGGGTTTTTTGTTTGTTGGAAACCAAGTTTTGCTCTTGGTTTGCAAAATACTTTAAGAAAAATCAAATCCCTCGTGATCTGTCAGTCATGGGAGACTGTTTCTTCTGTGCACGTTTCTACCAGGGAAACCCTGAAGATGTCAGCCATCTAATTTTAATGTTCTGCCAGTAATTAACTTTGCAGCAGCACTCGTGGGATACTTTAAACATCTCTATTTCTAACCTCCTTCTCTCTTTCTCTTTTTTAATCTTCAGGATCTGTCCAACAACCATCTCACAGACATTCCAACAAGTTTTGCTCTGCTCATTAACTTAGTGCGACTCAATTTGGCTTGTAATCAGCTCAGGAGCCTGCCTGCAGATATCAGCGCGATGAAAAGTAAATTAGTTTCCTCAGATTATTAAATGCCGTATCGCCAGTTCTGTAGTCGTGTTCAGAAATGTAATGTATATTATTCAGGATTTTTTAAAATGCATTCTTAAAGAGTTAATGTATTCTCAAGAATATTAGTTCAGACCTACTTAAACTGTCAGCTACAGCTACTGTATATCAAACTCAAGTCCTCTTATGTTTCATATTTTTTGATAAATGGGGCATAGAATGATCAGAATAGCGTAAGGATTTATGCTGTTCTGCTTAGAAGTTATTAGCCTTAAGGCTGCAATGAGGAATTTGAGATTTTTTTTTTTCCTTATTGCATATTTTGAGTGGAAAATAAAGCGTAAATGAGAGAGAGTTGAAATTATTGGAGAGGAAGAAAAACATAAATTAGTGATAAAGTTGACTTCTAACATAGAATGTTAAATACCAAGCTGGCTGGTGGTTGATCTGAAACGCGTATTTTCAGAGCTGTGGGAGATCCACAGGAACAGCTGGTAGACAGCCAGTTGTTATAGAGACTACAGAAATCACTTGCAGATCTCTCGGAGCTGGGCTGCAGTGTTGGACCCTTTCTTGACGGGAGCTATACCTGGCAGTGTCATTGAAAGCCTGCCAGGATGTTCTGGAAAGAGTAAATGAAAAGCAGATGCTTTGTTTTTGGAAAATGTTGGTTTGATTTCTTCCAAAGTCCTGCTTGGTATAATGTTGTTAACATTTATTTTAAAACCCAGGATATTTATGTTTCCGTAGAAAACCGTTTCGATTTTCTCTCATTTTTCTGTTTGTCACTGCACACTTCTGTAGGCTTAAGACAGCTGGATTGTAGTAAAAACTACCTGGAGACCGTACCTTCTAAATTAGCGACTATGGCATCTTTGGAACAACTTTACCTGAGAAAAAATAAATTACATTCCTTACCAGAATTTCCCTCTTGCAAATTACTGAAGGTGAGGTTTGAAATGGCTGGTATGCTGTAAATGTATTTGCTGTAAACTTTTAAAATAATAACTGTTACTTTAAACACAAATTTTTGTGAAGTGCTGTGATCAAAAGTTGATAATTCTGTGTTTAGAACTCTTATTATACATCCGTATTTGCAATTACTCTTACAGTCCACGCTGGTGAGTCTTAAGGTAATTTGGAAGACAGATTTGCAGCAGTACTCTTCAGATTTGGAAAATAAAAGAAACATTTAGAAGAAGATCTGGTATTGCCTCTAACAGTTTCTTTTTATCTCTAGGAACTTTTTCTGGATAAATTTCTGTTGTTCATTATAATTTTTTTCTTTGTAACTGCAGATAAAGTATCCTGTTCTTTCCTTTTAGCATAATCAGATCTTCCAGATATTTTGTAGCCTTAATTCCTGATGTGTTGAAAATTGAGAATCACCTGTCTCAGAACATCAGAAATTTGTTACTCAACTAACAGAAAAATGGTTGGGCAGAGTGAACGCCTGTGTCACTGCGTTGTTCCCAATGACCAAATCCATCACAGAATACAAATGCTTTTAGTTCTGCATAACCCTGAACTCAGCAGTTAAAAACCGCAAACTATTTCACCATTTTCTAACAAAATTCACGTTGGTGTGTGAAGTTCATTAGAGCATCCCACAGCATGTGCACCCTCTTTTTGGGCTAAAGAACCATCTGGTTTTTCCATTATAAGTGAAACCTTTCCAGTAGGGAGGTGGAGAGCTACCTTCTCAACTTCTCGTAACTCGGAATTTAAGAAACTTCTTGAGTAAAGAAGTTGTCGACAAGTTCTTGACAAAAGTGGAGGAGATTTATTCCTAGCTTGGAAATGGAACTCAAAAGCTGAGGGCTCTGGTGGTTTCAGAAAACCTGAGTTCAGACTCCTGCTTCTGGATCTTTGGAGGTTTGATATTTCATACGCAGATGAAAGGGAATCGGGATCTGTATTTCTCCATGTCATCATATGTTTTTTTTGATGTCACGATTTAGGAGATTAGTAAGTTATCAAGTAATTTCACTAGAGTAATGTGGTTGTGGATGATCTTTGTTTCCATAGGAACTGCATGCTGGTGAAAATCAGATTGAAATACTAAATGCAGAGAACCTAAAGCATCTGAATTCCCTCTCTGTATTGGAACTTAGAGACAACAAGATAAAATCAGTTCCTGATGAAATTACTCTGCTTCAGAAGCTGGAGCGACTGGACCTTGCCAACAATGATATCAGTAGGTAATGTTCAGAACTGCACGGTGTCTGCGATGGGCACAGCTAGTGACATCTAACGACTGTTAGCTGGTGTACTTCACTTACTAAAATGCAATTCAGAAAGGGCTCAGTCACAGTGAAGGAACCCTTTCTGTATGTGTAACTGCTGTGATCAAGCTATGCCTTTCTCCCATGGAGCACGTTCTGTAGCTTTTCATTTGAACCTGTTGCAGATGGAGTGCTGCACTTCACGTACTTTATTATAAGACCGTGAGTTGCCAAAGGTCAAGGGTAGATGTGGCAGTAGTTTAACAAGGCTTGGTGCCAGGGCACACTTGGTTATTTACTGTGTAGAGGAGAGGGTCAGACAAAACTCTGAGGCAGACCATCCCGCTGAGTCCTGAGGTTCAGGAAGAACCCCCCTGTGTGCTGAACTCCTCCTCGGAGAGGAGCCTTGGTCTGGCTGGACCCAGACTGAGTCCCAGACTTGGGCAACGGTTTATGTCTAAAGGGTGATACACGCACAGTCAATCCTTTATATCACTTAGCTGAGATTTCAGAGTTTCAGCGTGCTTATTCCTAACTCGCTTACTGAGTATCCGATGCGATAAGGATTCCCTCAGCCCCGAGGGGTGGCCCTGCCCACGGGAGATCCCGGTGTGCAGCCCGCTGCCACGCAGGAGGGCTCAGCAGGTCCCACTCTGTCCACTCGTCATGGAGTAGGGTAATTGTCTTGGATTTACATACCGACTCCAGGGGTTAGTTTCTTCCACATTTGGCTTGAGTCAGACACTGACCAGCACTGTGGTGCTCAGATTGGCCCTCAGCTGCTGTGGTGTTGGGGATCCACACGACCAGATGCATCCCTTAGGACTGCCAGCGGTGCTTATCTCTTGAGCAGGGTTACAGGAAGTACAGGTCAGGTTGGGGCCACGGAACCTGAGCCTTAGACTGCCAGGCCACCTCACAAACCGTTGTAAATTATTTAGAAAACGTTTTGAAGCTGCATTGAAATGAGTTCTTTTAATTTGCAGATTGCCTTACACATTGGGGAACCTTCCTCAGTTGAAATTCCTGGCGTTAGAGGGAAATCCTTTGAGAACCATCCGAAGAGACCTCCTACAAGTAAGCACTATAGACTCTATATGAAGTTCAGTTATGTTGCATGCATACGTTACCCAAATTGTGTGGCCAGAATGTTAAAAAAAAATTAAATGCATCCAGATTTCATGTAGCCTGTGCAGCTTTAATGCATCTCTTCAGTTTGTGTGTTGTGGCTTGGGCACTCTTTCTGCTGGGGTCTGATGCAGGTTGTAAGACAGTGAGCACTGTGGAATAAAGGAGGTTATTGCCTTACAAGAGCTTGTCTCTGCTCTGCTGCAGAAGTTGTGATATATATCGCAAAGGAAGCGATGGGTGTCTGGGAAGAGAAGGCTGAGGCAGCTGTCTGCTGCCCAGTCCCCCTGCAATCAGAGCTCATTGCGGTGCTGGGTGAGATCTTTACATCAGGTTTTTCCTAGACGAGCATGGATTTCTGTTTCTCATTTCCTACTTGCCCGAATTAAGGATCTAGGATTAATTTCCAAGTGATGGGCACCAGTAGTGTGACGTACTGCACCTCAGCTCTGTGTTGTAGGTGACCAGCACAATGAAGCTGTGAGTTGTGTGTGAGAAAACAAGCACACAGGGCAGCAGGAGGCTGGAGCGTGGGCACTGCTGCTGCTGTAGAATTCCCTTTTATTTTTTTTCCCCAGCAGGCCCTTCTTCAGTTGGTGGTATACATTACTTTCTGTGCTTCTGCAAGCATTACAAAATAAATGTTTACAAAGCACTGGGATTCTCTCAAAATAAGCAACACTGAAGACTCTCAGTTGAAATGAAATTTTGTAGTGTCTGTCAGAAGAGGAACACATTGTGTATCTGAGTGAGTGAGAGTTGTGTGCACTAAATTAATGAGCAGGGGTTCAGTGGATGGAAGTCATACGTTGATTCCAGCGTGCAAAGCTGGCTGCAGGTGTACCTGCAGAGGAGCCTGAGTCAGGCTGCCTGGTTACTGCAGTTCTGGTATTCCCTCGCTTCTGAGGATTTGCTCTTCCAAAGGCAGGAGCACAGATGGGTGTGATTTCTCCTGTGTATTGCAGATTTGTAGCAAACGACGGGTAAAAGGATTCCATTATGACGTTTTGTACTTACACGGTCTTGATCCATTACCAGCACTGTAAATTCCTATACCTGGGAGTATGCCTGTCTAGAATTTCTTACGCTTGATTTAGAGGAGGAATTGATAAAGCTTGTAGGGTTCCCCAGGCACTTCTTGGCAGCAGGTGAATACTGAGGTTAAGGATCAGCAGGGGCTCTGGGGTGGGTACAGCCCAGCAGGCGCAGACTCTTCTCTTGTCCGTCCCTGCTCCATCTCCTCTTTTCCTGTTCCTCAGGCCTCTCGTTCTAGTCCCAAACCCATTCTTGTTTCTTGGGGAATTTCCAGACAATTCCTGTTAAATCCTAGCCTCTTTTTTTTTAGCGTAACATACCATCATGGGCTTTGGAATGGGCTGCCCAGGGAGGTGGTGGAGTCCCCATCCCTGGAGGGGTTTAAGAGTAGAGTCGACATAGTGCTGAGGGATCTGGTGGAGCTGGGAACGGTCAGGGTGAGGTTAATGGTTGGACTGGAGGAGCTTCAAGGGCTTTTCCAACCTCGACGATTCTGTGATTCTGTGATCACCTGGCTGTTGAGCTTTGTCTTACTGTCTGCTTTCCTCTCCATACAAGCCATGGGACTGTTACTCAGCTCTCGGTTTGACCTTCACCTTTTCCTTACAAGTTTCCAGGTTCTTCTGTACTGACATTCTTGTCTTGCTGGGCTCAGGCCGTGCCACGCCTGGGCAAGCCTGCAGCCAGTCCCAGCCTCCTCCGGCCTCCCTTTCTCGGTCTTCTGTCATCCCACCAGATTCCTTGTGAGAGTTTGTCCCCCCTCTTCGTTCGTCCCCCCCCATTTTCTTTACCCCTCCCCATTCAGACCTCCCGGTCTCTCACTGTGTGTCACACAGAGCTGTGCTAGAATGAGACATTAATTCATATTTGGTGCTTTAGTTCAGTCCCTAGTTTTAAAGCACCGAGGAAGCCTGGAAAATCCTAAGGCAAACCTAGCTTTATCCTAAACAAATGGGCTAGATGAGATTATGTTTAATTACTCGGAGATTATGCAGATAGTAACTGTGTTTGACCAGTAGAAGTTGCTATGAGCAGATTGAAAGGACCAAGCTGTGAAAAAAATCCATGCAAATTATGTAAATTGCAGTGTTGTTCCCAGAGTCTGTAATTTTGGGCATAAAAAGTTGCCACAACACTGAACAGTCATCTTCCTTGACAAATTCTAGATGTCTCCTCCACAGCATAATTGTGCTAGAGACCTCTGTAAAGAGAAGGTTAGGTTAACTTGGACTTTGTTTCCTTGCTCTTGCAACTGGCTAACTACTCTAGATAAAAAGCTAAAAATGTGGAGCCTGAGGTGGTGATACAGGATCAGAAATTTTCATCTGGAATAAATAAAATTGTAAATGAGCAAGTTCAGAAGCTGCTGGGCAGAGGGTTTTTCTGTGGGAAGCATTAGGTGGATTTTGTAGCCAGCAGGGCTGCGGGTCCGCCCGCATGACCGCTGCTATTGCCGTTCTTGGTGGTCAGAGCGGATCTGGAAACCCTGCCTGGCAAATCCTGACTGACTTTTTTTTTTTTTTCTTTAAAGAAAGGCACCCAGGAACTTCTGAAATATCTAAGAAGCAAAATCCAAGGTATGTTGCTGTGTTACATTTTAAAGAGTCTTTATAGGAAATTAAAATAAATTGGAATCTGCAGAGGGTAGCTGTTTCAATCCAGGTTCCTCCAGTTAGCCTGCAATAAGTTTTCTTTACTCAACAGTTTGCTCTTCTATTTCAGTGCTGTTTCTTTTTCTGACTCTATCAGGAAGTACTGAATAACAAACATCATTGGGGATTATAAGTGAGAAAAACAATCTCATGTATTTTTCCCCTGGTCCTTTTACGCATTTTGCATGAGAAATTGCAGTAGCTTTTTTCTTTTTTCTCACAACGTCATGGGAAGTTTACGTGAGGGGTTTTTCTTTTTAAACTTGGTGTCTATCTGCTGGCTTGGACACTGCTGGGACCGAGAGTAGGGGATGTTTGGTGAAGACACTGTGTATAATTCACCCACGTACTAACACGGGCAGCACCAGAAAGTACGTGCCTGAGCCGGCCACCAGGGTCCTGGTGGTGCTGAGGAGTCCACCTCGCAGCTGACTAAGAATATCAAAAGTCTGGGGGTGAAAGTAACTGATTATTTTAAACATCATTCTAATCCTGGCCTGTTAGAATTTATTTTTCTGCTGTCTAATAGGCTTGATCCCAACCTTCCCTACAGAAATCATTAAAAAGGCAGAAAGCAGAAAAGGGGATGAAATATTTCAAGGGGATTACTTGTCCACGCAAATGCTGTGTGGGTTTTGCAGAATCCTCTGGGATTCAGGGCTGTGTCTCTGGGTTGAAAGCACCGACTTGGCTCAGGGTCACGATTATCTGCCAGATACGGCGCCGTGTAGAAATGAACCGAGAGCGTGTAGGAGGTGGACAGAAAGTTGCCAGTTGCTTCTGCGTGCTTGAGTCGCTTTCCAGATCGATACCTGGGCTTCTCATTCACTGAGATACTTCGGCACTTTGGGTGTTTTTTTGTTTTTGTTGCATTTTCTAAACAAAATGGTGGCAATGACAGTGTATTTTTTATTATACAGGAAACAGGCTGTTAGAGTCTTTAAGTAACCTGCATGCTGAGAAGGTGAAATCCTTTCAAAACAGGACTCCGGTTTACCAGCTCTAGAGGTTTTCCTCTTTCTGAAATTTTAAAGTAGGCAAAATGACCGAGTTCACTGGTTGTGTTCAGTATATCAGGGAAACGATTATGCTGCACTTAAATGGCAAAAAAAGGCTTAACCTCTTAATTTAGAAGGGGCCTTGATAATACATGAGAGCAGCTGTTACTGAAAATGGTATGTGGAGATTTTCCTTTATAAGTGGGTTTTCTCTCCCTCCGCCAGAGGATGGCAGTATTAATTAGGCTATGGCAGTGTATAAAATGGCTGCAATCTCAGGTTCCATGCAAATCTGACATATTATTAACTTGACAAAAATTAATTGAGTGCTAGGGTACGTACTTGGGAGTTATCTGGTGAACTAAAATAGATAATACAATTGTGGATAATGAAATTAGCTCATGTCTTGCATGTACAACGATGCTTATGATTTTACTCTAACTGTTACGGCATCTAAGCTGGAGCTAAACCTGTAGCAGGCCTGTTTCTGTAGAGGTTTATGGGGAAAAGGCCTCTTTTTTTAGCTTGTTTTTGACCCTTTTGACTTTTCCTAAGGAAAGGGTGACTACTTGTGGTCGGGCACAATTGTTAGTAGACTTTTATTCATGGACGCTGCTGAATTTCCCTAGGGTTTTGTTCAGTTTCTTTTAGTGGAGGTTGGATTTAGTGTATGTTTGGACTTCTAGCTAAGATTCACCCCCCTCCGGCACAGGTGGGTCCCTGGGGGGTGGTGCCACACCTCAGCTGTGCAGAACGATGCTTATAGTCCACATTCCTTAAACATCCAAAGTAGCCTTGTGACGCCCAGAGCTTTTTCCTGGGGGTTGTAGGTGGTGTTCAGAAGGAACTCTACAGAGGAGGGCGTGATGAAGGTTTATAAATATTAATGTTTTAACTGAAACTGTGGTCAGATTTGCTGTTTGGGGTATAGATGATGCAGAGCATCACTTCTAGCCCCAGTTCCCTGGTTGTTACTGTTTCTCTCTCCCTAGCCCGCAGGGCTGCCTGTCTAACGTAACAGCTCCGCTGCTCCCTCACCTAATTTTTCAAAAGCTAAGTCAACCCCTCTTACTCCCACCCCCCCTAAAAAAAAAAAAAAGCAAACCAGAAACCCAAACAAACCAGAAACCCAAGTTTGCAAAAACCCTTTACTAGAAAATTCTTTACGTGATGTGCATGAGATTATTTGTTGTCTCCAGATGATGGACCTCCTGGCAGTGAGGAGCCTCCCGTGACAGCCATGACTCTCCCAAGTGAGGCGAGGGTTAACGTGCACGCCATAACTTCACTGAAACTGCTGGAATACAGGTGTGTGTTTTGAAATACTACCTATTTCTAAAGTTCTAAGAACGCTCACATATTTTGTGCCCCTTTTTTTAATGATATATACCGAACTCTCTGCAAATCCTGCTGCATTTGTGCGTTTTTCACTTCAATTTGTGTGCTCGAGAATAGGCAGATTTGAACAGCAGGTTTTTAAAAATTGTTTCATTGTATTATCAAGTATTCCGCAGTAACATTCCTTTGGACTCACTGAAACACTTGATACCTTCAGGCGCTTTTAGTACCTCTTACACTTCTTCAGCAATTTTCATTAAGTCTCAGAGTATCTTGTAGTAGGTGAGTAGCTCTTCAGTTATTTATTGAAAGTAACCAGCCATGTAACTTTTTCAGTTGGGGAGGGGGAAGAAACCGTGTGGTACAGACAGGGTGCAGTGGCTGGTGGCTGATGAACAGTCCTGCAAGGACCTCACATTGTAGATATTTATATATCTACTCTGTGACTCACCTGTTTCTAAAAGAAGATGCAGATGCCCTGTTAATAAATGGGGAATGATGACTGTTGGTGTGACCCAGCTAACCGCCCCCCCTTGTGCAGTGAGAAGCAGGCCGCTGCCATTCCCGGTGAAGTGTTCGACGCCGTCGGAAGCCATCCTGTCACCACTGTCAACTTCAGCAAAAATCAGCTCAGTGAAATTCCTCCAAGGTACTTTTGGAAAGGTCGTTCCTCCGTTTGTTTCTTTCTTTCTTTCTTTCCTACTTCTTTCTCCTCGGCACGTTGTCTCTGTCCCGGTGCCGTGTGCGCTGTGCTGCGTGTCTCGGCACGCGGGGCTCCGCTGGGCGGCGTGGCCCTACGCCCTGTGTTCACCCCACGCTGCTGAGCCTCAGGGAAGGGCCCAGAGCAGAGTGATGTGACTTCACAGGGAAGGGCTGTGCGTGACCACGTGGCACGGATTCCTCTGCAGAGCCCCATTTTCCCCATATAAAGATGATCTGAGTGGACTCACCGCTTTTATGGGTGATGACTGTGTGCTGCTGCTGAGGTTCTATTTAAATACGGTTTGTTCAGAGAGGGTAATTGTTTGTGGGTTGTTAAGGAAGCTGAACAGTTTCCATGCCTCCTCTTGGCAGGTTTTGTGCCCCATCACACAGCGTTTGAGATTATTGCACTTGTAATGTCATCCACAGTCAGGAAAAAGCTTTCTCTTGGCACTAATGGAATTGAGAGCCTTTTGTGTAAGGAGGAGGGTACCTGCGCCTCTGGCAGCCCCAGGAACCCACGAAAGCTGGTGTTTAAGGATGCCACCACACCTGGGGAGTAACTGATGTCCATTCTAGGACCCAAGTGTGCTGAAGGTTTAACCTTCAGCACACAGAACTTGTAGAGGTGGGAATCTCTTTCTCATGGGGAAAAAAAAAATCTCTTTTCATATGACTTATAGAAAACCAATGTAGTGAGATGATGCTTGTGCCTCCCCTGCTTTCTCAGCATTTCAGGGGCTGTTGTGCTCGCCAGGGAGAGGTGTAGGTGTGCGGCTGGTGGGTGCCAGAGATCTGAGTTGCGATCAGATGGGAGAGCTCAGGGTTTTCTCATTTAATTGCTTTGTGGTTTTAGGGCTAAAGCAGAGATTCTGTTAGGGGATTCAACAGCTAACTTCTGACCCCAAAGCCCCAGAGCATGTTCATAGAACACCCTTTGACAAGGCGCAGCAAACGCCGTGTTTCCTGAAATTTGCAATATCAGAACAGTGGGACAGAAACAAAAGATGGAAACAAAACAGCAATCTCTTGTCTGCTTGATGGCCAGAGAAGGTGGATGGAGTCTTCTTGTTAAACGATTTACAGAGCAGGAGGTGACGGCGGTGGTCACCTCTGCCAGTCCCTGAAATCCCTCTTACCTGCATTTCAGCAAGTAGGCTCGTGGAGTAATGATTGCTCTCCTAATCAGGGAAGGAAAACTTACTCTGAGAACTTCAGGCAAGTGATTCTGAGCTTTCTCTTTACATCAGGCCTCAGACTCCAGGACAGGAGCTTTCATAGCGGAAGTTTCCATTACCTTCCCTCCACACAACTGCTTCTGAAGTGTCAGGAGACATAGCGTGTCCTTGATTTGTAGAATAAAGAAGGGTTTTTTTCAGTAACTTAGAAAATAGAATGCAAACACGAGCTTACGTAATGCAAGTATATTCATGTTGGTTTCAGGATCGTGGAGCTGAAAGACTCGGTTTGTGATGTCAACCTTGGCTTCAATAAACTGTCCTCCCTTTCCTCGGAGCTCTGCGTGCTCCATAAATTGACACATTTGGATATCAGGTTTGTGACGTGTGTTGGACTTCCTTTCTCGGTACCTTATTTTTGTGCCTTTTTAAACCAACCATCTGTTACAGTGGGATAGCAGTACTGAAATAAGTTTCCATTTCCCAAAATGCCTCCGTGACAGTTGAATGACCGGCAGATCTGAAATAGCAAGCGGCCTAGATTTAGGCATCGGGTAAAAAAAAAAAACAAACCAACAAAAACAACACAAAAACGAAGCGAACAAGCTCTGAGCCTTGCTGTGAGGAAAGGTCTTGCCTTGGTCTTAAGGTTCTCAGAGATGTGAAGCTGCTATTTAAAAATCCCCCCGAAAAGAACCCCCCACCGAGCCGCAGGCGGGCGCTGGGAATGGTGCGGGGCAGATCGAGTGTTGTGCTGCCCGGAGGGGTTTCATCGGCAGTAGGAGCTCTACCCCCGCGGCGCAGGCAGCACCGCTGGCCCCTGGGCTGTTTCACACACTGAAAAACACTTTTGCTGAAACCCCCGGAGCTCAACTGCCAGGTGGGTTTGTGGAGCTGTGGGATGCTTTGAAATTCTTGGGAATTGTTAGAGGACAGACTTAAATGGGCTGCTGTGGAAATGAGAATGCAAACCTGGCTTGTGTGAGCCAGCGTCTGGACTCGGGCGTGGTCTTGACCCGTTAATTGGTTTAGGCAGCATCTTGCCATGGATAAATACGCAGAGTCTGTCTCTGTGAGTTCTTAACTGAAACTTCGTAGAAGTTAGTGAGAATTGTTTGTCTTTCTTTGATACACAGAAATAATTTTTTGACATCTTTACCTGAGGAAATGGAGGCACTGACAAGACTGCAATTAATAAATCTTTCTTTTAATAGGTGAGTAACTCTTTAGGTTATTTTTTAATTTTTAAATGTACAATAACAAAAAGAACCAGTCTGCATTCAGCATGATTTTCCTGTGATGTGGGAACAGAGAGGCACTTGACCAAGCAGCTGTGAGCTCAAACCTGATGGACGCACTTCTTTGCACAATGGGCTGTGTATTTTTGGAACTTTCTGCCACAAAAGTTGCAGAGAGAGAGACAGTAGGAACTGGTTAAAAAAGGGATGAAACAGTCCGTGCGCAACAAACGCAGAACCAGAGCCCTGCAGGCGCCATTTGCCGTTAAATAACGCTCAAGCGCCCGACGTTAAAGGCTGCTCCGTTTCCGAGCGCCTGAGTTCTGACTTCCCTTTGTCTCCTTCTTCCCTCTTGAAGATTTAAAGCCTTTCCCAGCGTCCTCTATCGCATGTCCTGCTCAGCAACAACCAGGTGGGCTGCGTGGACGCGCGGGGGCTGCAGGCGCTGGCGGGGCTGGCGACGCTCGACCTGCGCAACAACGACCTGCTCCAGGTGCCACCCGAGCTGGGCAACTGCCAGAGCCTGAGGTGCGTGGGCCAGGCCCGGCTTAGGCAAACCCGCCTCCTCGGGGCCCCTCGGTCAGGGGGAGAACCTGCTCCCCGCGGCGCCCTTGGGTCGGGGCTCTCGGAGCACTAAAAGGGTCTCTTGCCACTTGTAAAACAGGACGGTTTCTGCCGTGTTTTCTCAAGATTGTAAAGAATTGGGGGAGCTGTTTCATGATTATTTTAAAAAATGGGGATGTTTTATAAAAAACCTGTAATTTTTAAAAAAAATCATTATTTTTTAGCAAAAGGGAAAGGCTCTAATGTTTGAGCCTGAGTGAGCCACCCCCTTGCCCACACCAACACACGGTCAGGGCCCCTCGGGCCGGGCTGGGAGCCCCTTCCCCCCCCATGGGTGCAGCTCGATGCTGTCGCAGAGACAAATAATTCTCCAAGTCACACCGAAAGCAGCAGGAGCAGCCGTGTGCCCCCTAGAGGGCGGTTCTGCGCCAGCAGCCCGGCCACAACAACCTTCCCAGGCCCTGGGGGTTTCCCCTGGCAGGACACTTTCCCCAGGGACTTCAAAAAACCCCAAATAAAACATCCCACCCCCATCAGGAAAACCCTCCAGGGAGATTTACCTGTGCTGAGGGCGGGCTGGCAGCTGTGCGGGCCTGCGCGGGGTTAGCGTGGTGCTCCCCGGGTACTCTGCACTTTCTACAGCTCGGAAGTCGGTTTTCTCGCTCTTTGTCCTGGCAGAGGCTGAAGAATCGGGTACGTGGGGATTGCGTGTCCACGCCCGGGGGTTATCGCCCTGAATTAAAAACCCGCTGTTGCTGTAGGAGAGAAGTTGGTGTGAGCTAGGGAAGCGGAAGTTAAAATCCTTGTCTCGGAACAGGATTCTTTAGGATTTTGGGGGCTGTGGGGGTGTCGTTCCAGCCCTGCTCCCCGTAACTCCACCTCCCTGTTTTCCAGGACGCTGCTGCTGGACGGGAACCCCTTCCGCACGCCGCGGGCGGCCGTCCTGGCCAAGGGCACGGCCGCCGTGCTGGAGTATCTGCGGAGCCGCATCCCCGCCTGAGCCCGGCCGGGCCAGGGCAGCCCTCGGGCTGTGCCTCCTCCTCCTCCTCCTCCCTCGGCGGCTCGAGGGACCCAGCGCAGGGACCCTTCGGGCTGGAGCTGGCGCGTCAGGAACTTGCCTGGGCCATGCGGTTCCCCTCCAGGCCGCACGTTTCCAGAGCGAGTTCCCAGCAGCACCTGTCGCCGTGTATGGTAATAAAGGGCTCTGGGAAGTGTGCGGTGGTTTGTCTGTGCTTGAGCCGGTTTTTAAACAGAAGGGTCAGCGTGAAGCGCTGGAGCCCTTGCTCTGCTGTGGGTGTGGCCGAGGGGCGGGCCCCTCAGGGGGCGGGGTCA